CTACCATTTCCTAGCCATCTATACCATTAAAATGGGGCTTGCCTCAAGCAGCACTTTTTGGAATACCTTTCAAGGGCAGTAAATATTCAGGTGTTTAGATTATATTTTTACCGTCACAGGGGGAGTGTTGTTTGGGGATTTCTGTCTCAGGTGCTGGATGTACTAATAGTAATATAATAGGCATTTATGAAGATACTGTTTAACGTTCAGCTGGACCGAGGTCTTTTATTTCCATAGCATTCAGCATGTATAGAATACCTGCCTGCCTAGAATCTTTTATGAATTAAAGGTCATTTTTCAGAAGCTGGGACTGAATAAAAGGAACAGGCAAAGGATTGGGGGTGGCAGGAGTGTAACTTCCTTGCAAACTATTTTTTAAAACCTGTCATTTTGTGGATGTAGGTAAGCTGGTTGGATGGATATGAAGTGCTGCATACTTTTCTGCTGTTGGATTTGGATTGACTGCCTAATTGCAGGAGAAGTAGGACAGAATTATCATGAATAAATAAACTGTGGACAGTTGGGTAAAGGAAGTGAATCATAAGGGAATAAGGTGTAGTGCCCACACTTCTGGGTAGTGCCCACACTTCTGCTGAGTGACAAAGAGCCTTGATGTCACACGGTGAATCTCAGAGCTGTGGATAACATGCCTACACCTTTTAACAAAGGGCACATTTGTGTACAATGGGTGAACTTACTGCCTTGTTCTTAGTTATCTACGAGCACATCTTTGCTCAGTTATCTTTGCGTGTGCGGGTGTCTGTGTGTGTGTAGCAGAGGTGCTCAGGCTCCCCATATGCTTCAGAACGATATCCAGTACTAGTGCTAGACAAACCTTAGCTGTGTTCCAAAGATGGCCCGATCTGTTGCTTTTGTAGCATGACTATGTTATACCATCAGAGAAATTTAGGTAACCATGCCACAAGAACAAGATGTTGAATTAATCTTTGGTAATGTGCATGTGTTACGTGTGCCTGTCATCAAAATGCGTTTCATGGGTTCTGTATCATCTAACTGCACTAGAGCAAGCATTTTGATTATGTAGTCCGATACCATCTAGCCATTTGATTTATAGTTTGCATAATTAATTTCTGCTTGGTCTATCTTCTCTGTATGGAATTTCCATTAAATGGATGCAGCTAAGCTGAAGATTTCTGACAGATATGCTCAGTGATCGGCACTGCGTGTTTCAATGGCCTTCTAAATAAAGCAGTTGCATAATACACCGTCAGCATCTGGTAACTCTTTGGGTGGCCTGGCAAGTACAATAAATCCAATCTAGAGCATTCCCAACATGATGGTTTTTCTTTGAGATGTGACATTTTTAAACTTGTCACACCAGGGAGGTACAACCAGCATGATTTGAGGCAGCAGACCTAGCCTAAGCACGGATGGAGGGGAGGATGTAGCAGGAGTGGAGCATCTTAGACCCCAGGGCCTTGCTCAGCCTTTAAGGTTTTCCCAGAATGTCACCAAAAAAGTTGTATATCTCAAGTGTGATATAGCAGTTCCCTTTTAAATCAAGGTGCAAAGTGCATATGTGAACCAGCCATAGAAGTCCTGACTCTCTGTTCCATTTCCTTTGCTTGGAATAATAATTCTATCACCTTCCTGACCAAAGATGCAGAGTTAAAAAGCAGTACAACTGAACAAATCAACAATAAATGCAATGAAGCCTTGGAATCCCGGTGCAGTTTCCGTCAGTGCCTCTGTGTTATTTTAAAAGAAAACACTTCCTTGGACTATAAGAGTTCCTTACTATTTTGTATTTTTATGAACTGGCTTACAGCCAAGGAAAGGGTTCCAGTGGTGTGTGACATGCCTTAAAAAGAATGCGCTATCCAAACACAGACTGGTTAGAAGAGGTCTAGCCAGTGAGTAAAGCTGAAGGATTTCAAATGTCCCCCTCCCCTTTTGTTCCTAGTGCTTTGGGAGGAAAAGGATTCAGGAGTTCTCTCTGGCAGCGCAACTATGTCCTGACTTTGATCTGCAAAGCATGTCTAAATTCCTCGTGGGTCTCACTGGGCCTAATTCAGCCGCACAGGAAAAATGCCTTTCCCCTCGTAAGCCAAGTTTATATAATGCTTGGCACCGATTGCGTGGTTGTAAGAAATAAAGGTGCAGCAAACCATTCCGGAGTGTACGCTTAACCATTCATGATTAGCCCAGGTGCTGGTAGTACATAAACTAGGAGGAGGCTTGTGAATATGCTGTGCTGCAAAAAATAAAAATTTTGCAAGGAAAATAGGTTTTTGTGATTTGAATAACTTGTACAAATTTATCTGCACCATTTTTCCAAATTGGCTTTATTGTGTACTTCACAAACTATTTTGCACAAATCATTCTGGCTCCACATGTCATGGGGAGTGAGGAGCAGCTCTGTCCACAAACCCTGTCCCTTATTCTATGAAAACCTTGTTCGGAGCATTTTTCTAATTTCTTAAGATTTCAACAGGTATTGCCTGCATACTTTTTCAAGCATGTATTTTGCATTTGTAACAGCTAAGAAAGCACATGTGCACCTTTTAATGAAAGCTGAGAGTCTCATGAATCTATGTTGTGTGCCCAGTACCACACTCTGTGCTTGTTTTCTGTGGAATTGCACCTACACCAGCTCACAAACAGAGGCAGAAACCTGCTCTTGTCCACACCGCCCAATATGGTTGACACTGACTGACAGCTGCCTCCAGGGATTCAGGCATGAATGTTTACAGCCTTACCTGTCAATGAAGGGGATTGAACAGGGGCATTCTGCACGCAAAACCTGTTCTCCACCACCATGGACCTTCCCTACTCTTCACTTGCTCTGTACTCTGAAAGTGAATCATGACTCAGACATGGGCAAAAGAGCAGTGCATTTTTCTGGTTTATTATTTATTGTCATCTATTGTTTATGCCTTCGTTACATAACACTGTGCTGCAATGCACTTCATGTGGAGTCATCCTTGAAGAGCATCCCGAATTTTTTGCTGGTGCAAAATGTGGCAGCAAAGCTGCCGACACATTGTGTTTGCAGTGTCCCAAAACGGATACTCTCCCACACTAGAGACATTCAGAAAGAAACTGGACCTCCATCTGAGTGGGATAGTGTAACCTGGTGTCCTGCAACTGGTTGGACCCAGTGGCCTTCATAGCCCCTTCCAGCTCTACTATTCTATGATTCTATGAAGGATTTGTATTGCTTACTGGTTGTTTCCTGGGCTGAATTCAAGGTGTACTGTTAACAAAGCTCCAGAAAGCTTAAAGCCTGGCTATCCAAGGAGTGCCCCGTCTCAGTATGAGCCTCCTTGCCTTTATTTAATCAGTAGGAGAGGCTCTTTTGCAGAGCCCAACTTGTCTAGCCAATGAGAAGAGCCTTTCTCTTGTCTTACTCCCAAACTCTGGAATGAGCGCCTTCTGGAGCCCTGACTTGTCACTGCATTCTGCAAGGAAGATTATTTTATTTTATTATTTTATTTTATTTTATTTTACACATCTTTTAAATTTTGTTTTAAAAATGGCTGTGCTCCTTAAGGTTAATATTGTACTATACTTTTATTTGATTGTTTTTCTTTTTTTTTTTTGGCAAAGCGTCTTGGCTTCAGAAAGGCAATATAAAATAACATAAATAAATGCCTTTTTTCTGAGCTTATTTGCAAAGCTAGCTGCTCATGTAAATAACATGAGCTAGAACAAAAGAATATGCAAATGAAGAAGAGGACTTAACATGTCAGGTTGCAGCAATGGCAAAAATAGTTATACCACGTGGATTTCTGGAATCGCTAGATGTTGCTAGTTCTCTTTTATGTCTCAAGTGTGATTCTTATATTTGACAAGTTTATTTATGATAGCATGCATTGTAATTGAAAGGGGGAATGTTTCTTCCTGAATTCATTCCCATCACCTTTTGGACACCTACAATCAATTAACACTTCATACTAGTTTCTATAGAACATTTCCATGTTGATGTAGAATTAGTTGGAATTGGCAAGATTCAGAAGCAGCCAATCAAAACTATGAATAAAGCTTTATAGTTGTTCTGCAAAATAAAGGAACACAGAAGCTCAGAGAAATCAATAATGAACTATTAGAGGAAAAAATAGGGAGGGGTATTGTGGAATTTGAAACCTTTCAGTTGCCATTTAATGCTTTAATAAAAAATATAATTCAGTTCTGCCAAGAAGCCATAGGTTGGTTGCTGGAATCGCAGAGAATGTTTCTCTTACCTGGTTAGCAGAGAACATCAGATTGTGAGAATGGCTACTTCCATCCTTAATACTTACAAATACTTAGATGTTGGACTTCAGTGTCCTAATGGTTTTCGTTTCTTTATATACATCAGACAATAAGAGGAATGCCTTCCTTTGCAAAACAAGCTTTGAGAAGTAGATCCTTGGTACTTTTCTGATGAGCTATGGTTGCCCATATATTTGCAGAGAATGCTGGACTGGGCAGTCCTTGGATTGACCCACTAACGTGCTGATATTGTTACAGACAAATGCAGAATTAGAATAATTTAACAGTTAAACCACAATTAAATTTGTATTAAGAGGTCCTGCCTAGGCTGGGGCTAGAAAGCGTCCATCTGTCTTTCTGCTGCCTCTAGCTCTTCTGAGTCCTGTTAATAGTTAGCTCATGTATGCAAGGCTTTGTTGAAGGGCTTCCATGATAAATCTCCAGGCACATGTGCCCTAATTGCAAACTAACCATGTCTGTCTTTCTTTGCAGCTTTTTCCTCATTAGGCTCTGGAAACACCACATTAACGTGGTGTCTCTGGTGCCTGTATTGGTGCAAGTGATAGGAGGGGAAAAGCAAATGACAGATGTTCACTTCTGTCAAGGGCAGCTTATCATCCTTCAGCCGTTCAGATTATCAAGAGGAAACTTGTGCTGGGTGACATTTTTGCATTATGTCATGTCTCTTTGACTGTGTGATGACGTCTTCAGTTGTGGTTTCCTCATGCTTAATTGGCGTGAATCATGTCATTGTCTTCTTAACACCCTTTATCCTGTTCTCTCAGGAGAATTGCTGAGTCAGCCAAGGCCAGAGGGATTGACTGAGATCATCTGTCCGAGGAATGTTAATGAGCGAGTAAATGTAGCTCTCGTTTACCCCCCCACGCCGACAGTGATCAGCCCTTGTTCCAAGTGACCTCTGGAAGACGCCTGCCTTTCCCAAAACAAGGACACACCAAACACCCCTTAATCAAACATGCCCTTGCTAAGCATTTTTGGAGATGTGCAGCCCAGGAGTGGTTCAGATTATTCATGGGCCAGGATATCACAGCTTGGGAAATAAAGGTAGAGTTGTTACTTTTCTCAGTGGGGAATATTTATGGTGCTGGTATTACCGTTTCATGCTGCAACAGTGCAGTGAAATGAGAATGAGGTGAACCAAGGTTTGATTATCTTTTGTGGAATTTACACCTTGAAAGCCACCAGTGCAAATGGAATACTTCAGCTTTTTGTAATGGAATATTTGTTCTTGTCAGAAATACAGACACTTTGACATTTCCCAGCAGTTCATGTTTTGGCCACTTATTTGGGGCTGGTGGGTAGAACCTCAATAAGGAACAGTCTGTAGTCGCTAATACACAGTTCCTTGTTGCACACCTTTCTGGGATGTCATAAGACTCAGATTCCGCAGTGTTTTGGTAACATCTGCATGACTGGGCCACTGCAGCAATATGCAGAAAAGCTAAATCGTAGCATTCCTCTACCTTTTGGATTAAGAAATTAAAATACTGAGCAAATATTTCCCAATAACTTCCAAAGTAAAATCAGCTATGTTGATTCACCTGTCCATTTATAATATTGTTTAATCTGCAGTGATTAGTGTGGGCCATATGACCCCCCCCCCCCCCAGCCACACTGCAGGTAGTATTTCTTTGGGGTGACAGTAAGAGATGCATTTCTACCACAGTGCAGATGGTAAAGTACCTTTTTACCGGCTAACAGGGACTGTGAGGAGGATCAAAGAGGTCAGTGAGGCTCAAAAGGCGGCCATGAGCCAAAAACATAAAAATGAAAAATGAAAACCTCTGCTATAAGGTACCAAGATTTTTTTAGCCAAGGAGTAACTGATGGAATTGAAGCTCTTCCTTCATTCCGCAGCTGGAACAACTGTAGTGGTCATTTCTTTTGTTCTTTGTAATATTTCTGTACCACTAGCTATTAAAAATCCCTAAGTTCCTACTAATCTCCAGTGTTTTGGATTCATTCTTTCCTAAAATTACCCTAACAAAATTATCAATAAATAAAATGCCATAAGTTAATAAACTAATACTTTGCATAACAAACAATCAGCAAAAAAACCTAGCTTTATGCATATTTCAGTTTATAATAGCCAAAACTTCCACCTATTACTTTTTGGACACCTTTAACTGAGATTTATAGAGGATGGGCATATGAAGTGAATAGAGTGGGGTGCGACCATCAGCATCTGGCCTGGCATGTAAACTTTTGGGCAGTGTTGGAAACCAAATCCTTTGTTTAATGGACATTGGTCTGATTCAGCAGTTTTCTCATGGCAAATAAAGATGCATATTCTGCCTAGTTTTCCTTAATTGTGTTTAAAGTCGATCTTTTTTAAATGTAGTAAGTTAATAGAGTGCATCTTGGGAAACGTAGGTGTTGTAAACCTTGAGACATCTGTCCTGTCTTTCTCTAACAAACAGATTAATGGGAGCAGGTGTGCTGAAGGCTGCACTTTGGGCTGGACATAAATCTGCAGTTTGCCGGAATTCATCCTTACCACAAGCTGGAGTTGTGCGTTCCCAAGAACTCTGCAATGGCTTATGAAGCAGGAAATGCAGCAAACCTTCCCATCCTGACTTACTGGTGAACTTGCATACAGTACAGTCTGAAGGCTCTGGATGGTTTTACTTGCTTCACAAGTACCAAAACAAGAGCATTGTAGGCTGAAGGCAATGCACTGGGATTGAGGAGTCTGTGGACCTGTCCTTGTTCTTTGGACCCATCCATGAATGTAAGATTTTTCTCAGTGTAATCACCATTCAGATGCACCTGAAGAAATATCTAATGGAAAGGAAGTGTTGGTGGTTCCCATGCAGGTAAGTTATCACCATGTTCCTCAGTTCCATGGCCCCTTTGGTGTTCCTCTGTTTCATGGACAAGAACTTTATCATCCTCCAGTGAGGTGACCACCCTCTTCCTCAGTCCTGACTCTCAGCCATTCTCTTGAAGGCAGTAGGAAATCTATTTGAAAATAATGTCTATGAAGTTACTGTGCAAAAATTGTAAGCAAAAGATATGCCTTGGCCAGCTTTCTAGTAAATAGTGCATATAATTAAAACCTCACTAGGTGAAATGAGGAATTGAAAAAATTATTGAGGTATTGAAGGAACTATAAGTATAGAATTAGGTAGAAATTGCTGCAAGCAAAATCAATTAATTGTTGGAGGAAAAGGCTATCTTTAATTTTCATTTTTCTTCTGTATTACAGCAACACAGCAGGACCAAAATACCATCTCTGAAATAATTTTTGCCTTTAATTTGCAGGCCCGCTGATTTGAAATTTGTCTTCACAGTCTAAATAAACTAAAGCTCCCAGTTAAAGCTTTAGTCAATTAAGCTATCTATTCAATGTATTAAAACATGCAATCCTACAGATGATAATAACTGGTATCAGCAAAACAGATGAATATGGTTAGAAAAATTCCTTACTGTAGGTGCATAAAAGGAAAACAAAAATGTTAACTGTGCTCAGCCTTCTGATTGCTTCATGTGTGCAGTTTCTTATTTCACTAGTTTAATGGCTAGCTCAGTTTGATTGTTAGTCTTATGTAATGCAGACACAAGTAGATACCTTTTGTCCTGGAGCATAATTGAAATGTCACTTCTAGATCTTGATGTAGTGGAGTGGCAGGTAGTTTTTCTCCTTATTAACTTTTAGAATTTGGATGTCAAGCCACTAAAACACAGGCAAGGAAAAGTTCTGTGCGAATGGTGCTTGCTAAAGAGTAACTGCAAATACTCGGATCATGTAGTCACACATCCTGGTTAACCTGTGGAGCTAATCCATAAAACTGTAGTGTCTTTTGATGCATAAAATCATTAAATACTGGAACCTCATTGACTACATCCGATAGGAAATTCTCATAATATAGAAGCACAATGGAAACAACACTTGCCAGTTGAAAATGCTCAGCCCCCATGCTCTTCAGAAAATGCACTGACGGGAATGAATGTTACAGATCTTTCACAGTTTCAGGAGGAGGTAGGAAAAACAGTGGCACCTCAAAAAATGACCCAAGCAATCGGTAGGTTCATGTTAGAGCAGGCAATCCTTTGGGTTGAGTTACTTCCAGAAACCAGCCAACAAGGAGCCAACAAAATCGGCAAGAGAAGGGGGTTGATCGTTCTTGCCGCAAGAACTTGTCCTAATTTTGCCACTACTTTCTGGACTGACTGTAGTTGTTCAAGAGTGGCTCCACCTTAAGCACATTACAGTCTTGCAGTCTGAAACTCACCAAGGTGTGTGTGACTACAAATGGTGGCTGTTTCTCTCATAACTAAAACTGAGTTAACTTGAAATAAAAATCCGGAACAATGCTAAAAAGTTTACTAACAGAATACAAGGAGCTTTTATGCATGTGGGACCATTCAAAAATATGACCTTTTCTCTATTGCCTGAAGCAATATAATAACCCCTTTTTAACCTACTGACTTGATTTGCATGTGGTGACTACATGCTGCGGTCACATGGGAGCAAGCAACTGTGCTGCCATGGCTGATGTGTAATATAGTCCTGGAATGGTTGTTTCTGGGTTGTTCCCCAGGATGCTCAAACCTGGTACTCTTAGTTGTTGAGATAGAAACAACCCAGAGTATGACTTCATGGTCTGTTGACAACAAACAAGCCATAAATGGGGCATTTGTGGCTTATTTTGTAAAGCAGAAGCGGGTAGAAACCAATCTCATTTCTGAATACAGTAGTGTTTGGAACAGGGTTTTCTCTGATGCCCTTCCTTGTCTTACCTGCTTTAAGTCTTTCTATGAAGCTTGCCCGCATGTTTCAAATTTACTTCACATAAACATACTTTCCATCACATTAAAAATAGAATTAAGAATAAACTGTCATCAAATCACAAAAATCATCAGCTCACAAATATAAAATATAAAACTTAGCAGTTAGGGCACAATTCGATGTCCTTCCAACATTGTGATCTTAGAGCTGAGACTCTGCAGGCCCAAGCCCCTCACCCCTTCCCCTTTCAGGCAGCAAAGCAGTATCAACTCCCCTCAGCTTGCAACTGGGCCTTGCAGGGGGAAGGGGGTGAGAAGGAAGGAGGGAGGCTGGGGTCAGAGTTGGACTACCTGTAATTGGCACCCCAGCCTCCTTCCCTGCTCCTGCTCGGCATTAAATCTAGATTTAATGGCTCTCTAGCTAAAATGCAGGTATGAGGTGTGGTGGCGGCAGCAACAAGCAGTTCTGTTGTACCTTGTACCTGGTAAGTCTCCGGGTTCAGAGGTTAATGAGCATTTGCTGTAGGGGAGAAAAGACTGACAGAGTTGTGTCTCATCCTTCCAAAAAAAAAAGCTACCAAACCTCCCAGAGGCGGTTCCATACTTTAGGGTAATCCCAGTGTAAGCTCAACTGCTGACCATCATGTTGCCCTCTGACCCTGTTGTAAGCAGGGAGCAGACAGCCAGGCTGGCTGTTCAGATGCCTCAAATTTCAAGTGAGCTAATACAAAGAAGATAGTTCTTGAAGAGCTGTGAAGGAAACACATGTATATCCAAGGAAATTTTGTTTACTGTGAACTATTGGCTTAGACATCTTAGAGAGCAGCATGCCCTCCACCTACCAGACGTTCAGCTTCAGTGCATCAGGCAGACATGGTGCACCAGCCACGGGAGACATGGTGCTGTTGACAAAGGGCTGTGCACCAAAAAAGGAACTTGTGGGCTTGGCAGAACGGGGGGAAGTTACCTCTCCGGTACAAAATATAAGAGAAAACCTGTTTGGAAGATCATGTGCGGACAGAGTGTGAAGATCCACAGGGTCATGGAGTTTTCACCATTGGAAAGACTTCCAGGACGGGCTTTAGCCAGGGAGACAAGACAAAACCTTGGAGTCTTCTCAGGCTTGGCATTCCCCTAGCCAGGGCTCCTTTGGTCTGAACCAAAACAGTTCAGCCTGTTCTTATGTAAGTAGCTCATATAGTGTTAACATGTTCACAAAAATGGTCAGAGTCCTCTGCATAAAAATAGCCTAAAGTGGAAGTGGGCAAAAGAAAATGTTCTGTGGTTTACCAAAGTTTCTTCTCTGATTGCTTGGAAATCTTGCTCACCAAGGTGTAATGGTTCATTTGCACATCTGGATAGATAGGATCCTTACCCTATGTTACCTTGTGCTCTTTGGGCTGAACATCGTATTACCCTGCAGCCTTATGTAGCAGAGGTCCCAAAGCCCCTTCTCTCTGGCCAAGCCCCTGCCTCAGGAAGGGATATTTAACATGGCACAAGGAAGTGCTTTATTCCCCTTTGTTCCACTGTTCCTTCTTCACCCATTTGCTGCCTCCGAGAAACCCATATTTGAGCCGAGAGGTGCATTTGTGGATCCATGCAAATGCTTCAGCATGCCATGAACTGCGTGTTTACTTATCTAGGTATCTTAGTGTTTTCCCATAAAACATGTTCAGATTTATTCTCCGTCTATCGAATTATTCCCTTCAGTTTATTCTGAAGGGAATAATCTCTTATTCTACACATGTTTTTGTGGAAGTTAATTTGAAGTCTGACTCCATCTGTTTGTTAACTTCTATATGTGGGGGTGGGGGGTGGGCTGGCTGGGTAAATCTTAGCATGCCAGAGTTATAACACCACAAAATCTGACTAAGAAGGCTTGGATGGGGGATCAGCTGTATATTGGTTTTAAGCTCCTCAAAGCTCCCTCAGCTTCTTTGGGGAAAGGAAGAAGCTTGCCCTGGGCTTGATTCCACTCCCCTTCCCATTGCTTGGGTTCATCAAACCACTGGAGAGCGGGAACCTGCAAACGACGGTCCAGTGCCCTCTTTTGCTCTTTTTATTGCTTTACTTGTTTTGTCTTGCACAGCTTAAGGCGCCTTCTGTCCATTACTGGTTTTGTTAGGAGTCCGCTTGAATTACTTGCAATAATGACTTGGCAGCTGAGCTGTGTGGAGATCCAGGAAATGTTGGTCAGTGAGACAGCATGTGCAAAAGGGGAAATTTGACTCTCTTCGCCCTTTCCAGTTACTTCGAGCACAGTTTTGTGCATGTTTAGACAGAAAAAAAGCATGGCTGACTAGGAGATGTTAGGAATTACAGGGCTTTTCTGCCTTAACATTTACATGATTGCACCCTTAAAGACCTGGAAATTCCTGGCCTGCGGAAACTACACAGCTAGCAGCAAGCAAATTTGCTGGCTAGCTACAGATAAGGAGGACAGTATATGCAGTTCAGGGAAGAGTTTAAAGCTAGAGATGGTCAACCCTCCACCTCACACTTAGCTTTAATTGTGGCTGGATCAGCAGATGCAAACGTCCCCTGAGACAGGCTGTGGTGGTAGAGGGCATTTTTCTGAGCGAGAGAGCTATAAATTGGCTTTTCACATAGCATACAAGTGCTCATGCTGCAGCTGGGGAATTTCATCAGGGGTGTTGTCTATTCTTCCTGGAACTTCCTTGGAAGCCACCCAGTAGCACAGTTCATGCTGAAGCAAGTGGTGGTCCAGTATTCCTTCCCTTAGAAGAACACATGGGATACAGCAAGTCCTCTTACCATACAAGAAAATCCAATCCTCATGGCATAGAGAAAATAAAATTATTTCAGTTTTAGGCACTGCATCACATGCTTGGATTAACAATAGAGAAGGTCTGTCCAAGTCAAACAAGGGATCAGGGAGAGTCGCACTCTGCAGAAGTCCTACTGCAGGCAGCCCTCCAAACCAGTATGGTGTATGGAAGGCCGCAGTGGGAGGAGAGTTTGGAATTCTACATGTGCCAGTGACAGAGTTAGACTGCATCTAATTGTTTTATGATTCAGTGTGCATAGCCATTTGCTACGTTGGTTAGCAGGCTATAATTTTAATTCGGTCTGTTTTTCCTGACCTGCTGGAGATCTTTCTTTTCAAGTAACTGTGCTCATGTAATTTGCTTTTGTAAATGTTTTATATACGTGATATTTGCACTGCTCTTGGGACGTACAACAAGAAAAGTGATACTGCTCTGTTATGTACCCTTTTTAAAAGTCTGAGTTCATTTCAGCTGTGAATAAATATGTACAAATTAACTTCTAGCATAGCAGCTGCCTTTTTTAAAGAAGCAGATCTGAAAAATGCAGCCCACACAGGTGTAAAATAGGCACAGAAGCTCACAATTGTGTGGATTTAAATTGTGAGCAAAAGATGGTTTTCTAGGGCAACAGAAATTGCCTAGAAAGGCATTTGCTTATTGCAAGATAGGGAAACTTGCATTGGAAGCCAGATATTCTCAAAGTTCAGTTGCATCAGTAAGTACGAATGATGCATTTGAAGGACTGCCACTGACAAGCAGTTTATGCATGTAGTTTCTGCACCTGCTTTGCATCAGTTTGGAAAAGTTCTTAGTTTACACGTAGGCTGACATATTTACAGTAATTGCTTACCAATGTGCTGTCATTGGGAGCATAGCTAGCTAGTATGGAAGGAGTGTACATGCATGGGCCAGAGCATAGAATTAAGAAATGCTTGAGTGTGATGACTGACTTGTAGGACATGTGCATGTGATTATCATGTTTAAATTGGCTCTCAGTTACAAGTATATCCAGGTTGAGAAATAGTAATGTAACCCTTAACCTGTTGTTGCTAAGAATAGTTCTTGCCAACTCCACCTCAGGTAATTCCATCCTGAATTCTGTGACTAGAGCTACCTTCGAGGAACTGCATGCACAAGAATAAATTGCAGTCACAAACCCAAGCATATTGCTCAGTTTCAGAGATGAGGAACCTCTGCCACAGACGCAACTCAGAGAGTACTTGTAGAACCAACCCCTCCAAGAGCTTTTCTTGGAATGCTTTTCTCCAGGCAGAGAGCCTCTGTACAGAGAAAAGCAAAATGGATGGGACGAGAAAAGCCAAGGACAGGGAACATACACCAGTATATTACTCAATCGGCATGGCATCTCTTTCAGAGCACAAGTAGATGTCACAATAATTGTAACAAGTCTCATTGGCAATGAAAGATTCTGAACAACTGAAACTGAATGCTAGTCAGAGACAAAGAGGATAATGGAAACTGACAGAAAAGAAGAGCAAGAGCTGTGCATGGTAACAGACACTTATTAGATTAAACTCAAGCCATTCTGGAGGCTCAAGATGGAGGTGGGTTACAAAAGTATATGCCCTAAAAGAATAGGGTTTAAATCATAAATAAGTGAACCCATTTGGAGAGGTTAACGGGTTTACAGATGAACTGGGATAAATCAGAGATGATGTTATTTAATTGTGATAAAGAAGAAAGGGAAAAGGTTAGGAGTAACTTTGAAGTTAAAATATGTAGAATAAATATTTAGGTATAAATATTACAAAAACTCTAGAATGCCTAAAAAAGAATAATTTCGATAAATTGAAATAGGAAATAAAAGAGAAAATGAATGAATTTAGGAAGACTGAACTATCATGGTTTGGTAGAATAGCAATATTTAAAATGAAAAATTTCCCTAAGGTAATGTTTTTGTTTACAGTGTTACTGATTAAAATAACAGATAAAGACTTGAAAGAATGGCAAGATATGATTGGTAATTTGTGTGACGGGTAAAAAAGCAAGGATAAATTAAAAAAGATGGTATAGATCGCAAAAGATGGCGTGGGGGAGGCGGTTAGGTATTCCTAATGTAAGGTTATACTATGTAGCAAGTCAAGTGAGGCATATACCTGATACTGTATTAACCTGACATGCTAACATGGCTAAAACTAGAATTTTATCAATTTGTTAATTTTTTGAAAGATTATAATAAAAATAATATAAGAGAGATTGAAAATACCTTCCTTAAATAGATGATAAAGTTTTGAATAAGGAAAAGCTTATGCCATCAATCTCACCATTATATCCAATTATAGAATTAGAAGGATTTGCAGTAAATTGGAGAGAGAGTTTGGGGAAAATTTTGAAGAATAAACAAATTATTAAGTTAAAAGATTGGTTAGAGAAGATGAATAATAAGGATAAGATATAAAATAGAAAACATTAACTTGCTTTAATGTAATTCTATTAGAACGTTGGACTAAAGATTGGTTAAAGAAAAAAGATGGATGCAAAGATTATACTAAATGTGAAGAAATGATAGTGGAAAAGGAAAAACAAGGCACTATGCAGATAAAAGGGATCATAACTAAAATTCACAAGATTTTAGAAGATGAGGATTGATATGATCCTCTTAAAGCAACAAGGGAAACAGATTTAAGAAGGAATATTAGTAATGAAGATAGGAAAATATGTGGGATAAGACAATATTAAAATGTATGTCAGTAAGAATAAGGAAAAAAATTATAAACTAGTATGGAAATGGTACCTAACCCCAGTAAAACTGAATCATATGGATAGCAAATATTCTAATCTATGTGGGAGATGTGGTTGGGGGGTATGCACACATTTTCATGTGGTAGGAATATGAATACATAATGAAATTTTGGAAAGAGTTTTTAAAAGAAAGTTACATTGACAGTAACAGGATTGAAGTAAAGCCTGTAATTGCATTATAGTCAATATTTGATAATGGAGATGGTATAGCAAAGAATCAGTTATAGCAAAGAATTGGAAAGTTAAACATGATTATCAGTGGAGTGATTGGTACTGAGAAGTTTGGAATGTAGCTATTAATGATAAATTAACATGTGATATTATTTTTTTAAAAAATCTATATAAATATGAATTATTTTGACAATATTTGGGGCCCATTTATTAAGTGCTAATAAGAGGCTAAGGATTTAAACCTCCACAAGAACCCTGACACTTTTCAAGAGGGACAGCGCTTCCTGTAAAAGCAAATGGTTTAGCAAGTATCCCGTGGTCCTGGTGCTGGGATGCATGATTTTGTTATAGTATGATTTTAATTCCATATTTGTGCAATTTAATATATAAATAACATGTGTGCATGCATATGCACACACAAGCAAAACAAAATGCTTTTGTGCCATATAGAGGTTATAGCACTTCTAAGAAATGATTGGACTTGAACTTCAGTGAGTCTGTAGCAGAAGTGAGATCTGGGTGGTTGGACACTGAGCTGGAAAGTTACACAGCCACGAATGTTGCAAAAAGTATTTCAGAAGTGTTACTAGCTTGTCTAACACAGCCATCATTTTGCTGTGCAAGGGAAGGCTAAGAAAAGATGTCAATTTACAAAGCTTCCCTCTCTGTTCACCTGGAGTCAATTTATACTCTCTTTAGGAAACCGGATGCGTCTGTCTGAAACCAGGAGCATGTATTAATTTTAATTCATTCATTTTTATACCAAGACCAGTCCATGTACCAAGCAAGGATCCCTAATCTCTCTGAGGAGGAACAGTGAGAAGTTTTGTTCTTCCAAAGCAGTGTTCTGTTTATGACAATACTGGCTGGGGAATTTTTGTGATTAGCTTCTTATATGTAAATACCCCTTTGTTCTTTCTTTAGTTTCCCCATAGGAAGAAATGAACAATTCTGTGGCTGCAATGTGTTTTGGAAAAGGACATCAAATCAAAACTGGAAAATACCTCTTCTTCTGAATGACACATTCCCAGGGGACTGAACATATAACTTAAAAAATCCAAAACTGAAATGGTTTTTAAAGTAATATATTTACTTACAGATGGAAGATGGACTAAAGGACTCATTGCTTGACCTTCAGCCTCAAGTCATTCTCTTGCAAAGAGCTGCTTGCCAGCAGAATGGACTGAAAAGCTTCTCAGGGATTATGTTCAGTGTAAAAGCCACAACTGCAGTCCAGGACAGCAGTAATGGGGGCACTCCGTTTCCAAGTCTCTCAAATGTGAAAGAGTGGTCTGCTGTTCAAGTAATTTGTGTTCTTTCCCTAAGTGTTCATAGTTATTTTTGTAAGTTTTAATTATCTATGCAGCTTTGGGCTAAATTGGCACTGGGTGCAATGCTCAACGTGGAGATTGTGCTAGACCAGCTGCTGGGTTCTCGTTTTGTTGTCAAAATACTGCATGCATGTATCTTCACCGTTGAAATAACTCACACATATACACCAAATGCATACTTTGATTTCACCACACAGTTTCATGGTAAAAGCCACCTAAGCAAACACCTCACAACTGAAGTGGAACTCAGAAAAAAACGTTTTAGATTTCAGGATGTTCTGTCTTTTGTGTACAATAGCATCGTGTAGTGGAGAGAGAAGGCAGCTTGAGCCCAGAACTAGTTTGTGGCCTTCCATAAAGCAGTGGTTAGCAGTAAAGAAAGCCTGGAATGATTCATGAGCAATGTTAAGGCCCTGAGAAAATGGCAGAGATTAGCTTAAGCACAGGTGTCCCCCAGGGCTGCAGCTACAGCAGGGCCAGATATGGTAAGGCCCAGGAGACTAAAAAGGACAATTCAACTGTTGGTGATAACATACCACAAGGATCGGGCTTTCTCACCAGATAGACCCTGTTTAAGTTCAGTGCATTTAAACTAATTCTAAAATACAAGCAGGTAAATTCAGCTCCTGCTGCCACAGATTTTACCTTCTCAGTTCTGCAAGTGTTTTCCCCTTGACTAGAAATCACACTGTTTTCCTCGTACATTTCTGTCATGCTTGGGAAAGTGAATGATGCATTTTTTGTAGAATAATGCAGGCTAGTTTCAAAGGATTAAATTAGCCCTCAGTTTATATGTCACTTGAGTGGTATAGCTTTTGCCCTTCAATTGTTGCTCCTATGTCATTTTGGTCATGAAAATACATTCTACAGGTGTGATTTGGGGCAAATTGTGTGTAGCTTTATGTACCACACCTACCAGATTGAGCAAATGCAGTTGTGGACCATACTTGCAATACAATTCACCACAACTGCATAGATGGAAGCTTTTATAATTTCTGAAATGGTTTGACAATAGCTACAGGGCAGGTGACCAGATTCAGTTTCACTTGCTGGAAAAGATGGCTGGCATTTGCCGTAATATCCACTCTTACATATAACATCACATGCAAAAATTCTAGCTGCATTTTGAAGTTTCGGGTTTTAGGTTCTAGCTGCATGTTAGATTTCCATGGGGGGATCGAAACAAGTGCCAACAATGAAGGATATACCTTATTTGGAAAGAAGTTGAAAAGGTGGAATGTGTATCAGCAAATGTTGCTTTTAGCAGCATGAGCTAGCTTTTAAATCTTGGTGGCTAAAGTTTGCATGCATGTTGAAAGAGCTAATATCTTCCTTAGAGCAGTTGACCACCTGTGCACAAGGGAGATAAACTGCAGTTTACTCTTTGTTGGATTTTGTACGAAATTTCAGCTTTAGTGTGGAGTTTTACATGACTCCCAGCAATGAATTAGCTTTTTACCCCACGTTCCTGATGGATAAGTGGGGGCAAAAGCAGATTTCAGCGGCACATCAGTTGAATAGGTTTAACCTGGCCCAATGGAGGGTGTTGTTGGGCTTAGGTTTGTTTTGCTTAGGTTTGCCTTAAATAGGATCCAATACAATTTGGTCATTCTGTGGTAAAGTGCCAAAACAGCAGTGCTAACTAGCGGTGGCTACAGGCTTCAATACCACTGAATTTTTGGTCGATGCTAATTAAGTTGGAATGTCTAAGTGTACCTCAATCTTTGACACAACTTTCTAAGTAGCTCTGGGTTATGTAAGGAAGAATACCGTTTTGCTTCTCAAAGCCAAAATGAAAATGTTTGGGCATCTGGGAAAATCTGTCTTTACCTGTGATTAGAGAGTGACACTTCACTGTCGTAAATCTACATAGGAATGGATGTTGGTCCTCATCTCTATTTTCAGACTTTTTAACATCACTGTGTTGTAGGGGCTAAGGGTAAGCAGTTGTTGCAGTTGTGTGAGAACTTTACATACAACTTTTCTAAAAAGTAATCATCCTTTCCTATGCAGGATACTTCAGTACACACAACACAGACAGTGAGGATTGGCTGGCAGAGTGCCTCTTTTGGAACCAATTATGGAGGACCTCTGCCAGTTCTGGGAAGAGGGTGAGGTTTTGCTCTGCAAAGCACAAGAATCAATCAAGCCATTCCACTTATCTGCTGGAGAATTGCCCTTGTTCTCAGTCATATTTTCTATTCCTAGATTCTGCAACAGGAAAAGCAGTTTCCTGGATATATATCACTGTGCTGCCAAAGCAAATGTGTGTTGTTGTGTTTAACTCTCCTAAGAGTTCACGTCAACCCATCTTTGTAATCCACATCTGGAAGGGCAGGAAAAGGGGTGTTGGTGGAGCATGGATGCATTCTTGTTCAGCAAAGGGCATGGGGGCTATACTTACGGCTGTCTGTTAATTCTCCATATTGCAGCACAGGCATTTTTACAAAAAGGAAAAGACAAAAAATATTATCACGGAGACAAAAAAAAAAACAATAAAAGTCATCTTAAGCTTAAGTCATCTTTGCCTATTCATTTCTCTCACAACCATAATTCTGTATCTTCGCATACCTGTGGGCTTTATTCCTCTGCAAAATCAAAATAAATTTTGAAAGGTATGAATCACTTAAGAACTCCTCTTCCTCCTTACACATACAACTACTATACTACATCTCCTGTGTACGTTTTTTGTAGCCAGACAACATGGAAAGCCCTTCGAAACAGAATGCTTCTCTGAATTTTGATTGCAAAGTTCTTGTTTTAATCATATTTCTCAAATCATCTTGTACCAAGCCCCCTTTTTCCCTTTCTAAAATTAACAATGCAAATAGCAACCAACTGTAGAACAATGCCTTGACTGGAGACCAATTAAAATGCCAAGAAGCAGTGAGCAAGCTTTGAACTGCTTTAGAATTCTTCTACAGTAACATGAAATATGTGGGTGGGGATGAGGTGGGGAGAAAAAGATTGGGATGATGAAGCAAGTCTTAGGATAACCTATACTGTAATCTTATACATGTCAACTTGGAATCACTTTGCATTGACTTCAGTGGAACCTACTCCTAGGAAAGCAGGTATGGAATTACCCACTTTAAATAGATAGATGGTACCTCCCACAAAATGAAGAAAGTGACTGCTGATCAATATGCAAGGCAGAGGGTAGCTATCTGCTTATCTGAAAATGCAAAAGCTGATAGTGGTTTAGATCTGCCTATAGGATTACGCATACAAAATGGCATCTTTATGGAAGGCCATCATCCAGAGACTGTTCTGTCTTTGCAGGTGTGCTCCATAGAAAGGTAGCATCAAAGTTTAGATTTCATGTATACTCAGCATGTCCTGAGGCTATGGGGCTATGCATGTTAAAACAAGCACGTTAAATTGGGCCCAGGCTTCAAGTGTAACTTACACAGAATAGGTCTTACGTGGACATGTGACCTGACACCTGACACCAGATGCGCAGCCCTATTTGGGACCAGTTGTAGCCTCTGCACCATCTTCAAAGACAGCCCTATGCAGAGCACATAGAGCACATTACGTAATCCAGTCGGGATGTTATCAGCGCATGAGTAACCATGATCAGGCATTCCTGGCCACTGAATTCACCAGAGACGCCAATGAGAGTTTTGGGTCCAGGAGCACTCCCAAGTTGCGGACCCGGTCCTTCAGGGGAAGTGCAGCCCTCACTTCTCTGGCCATGGCTGTCAGGGCCACACCAGTCATTCAAAAGCTGCTGGGCCTCATGGCTGCCACGGTTTCGTTGCTGCAGCTCGCAAGGCTCCTCATGAGACCTCCAGCTCTGGTTCATGGGAGCCTTCATGTAGGACGAAGACCCCACAGAACCCTCCTACCCCCACCCACTGCTGTCAGGGAGTCCCTACACGGGTGGAGCGCAGTGGCCAACCTCACCTCAGGCATGCCATCTCCCTTCCCGGCCATCTGTGACTGTCACCACGGACACCTTCAATACAGGCTGGGGCGCCCACTGCACAGGCATGTGCACACAGGGCCACCGGACCCGGGACGAAGCCCGTCTCCACATCAACATGCTGGAGAGGCTGGCAGTCCAGAAAGCCCTGGTGTCCTTCCAAGATGCCCTGACAGGGCGCCATGTTCAGGTAGCCAGAGACAACACCACAGTCATGTACTCGCTGAACAAACAAGGGGGAACACACCCCGCCCACCTCCCTACCCTGGCCACCACCCTCTGGCACTGGTGCGTTGAGAGGGGTATCAGCATCACAGCCGTTCACATGGCAGGCCACCTCAACACCCCCGCGGACTCCTTGAGCCGCTCCCCCTCCCTCCCACACGAGTGGGAACTGGAAGCCTCCACCTTCTGCGCCCTATGCAGGAACGGGGGGTGTCCCGAGAACGATCTCTTTGCCGCCCCCCAGAACTCCAAATGCAAACAGTTCTGCTCCAGAGCAGCACAGGGCACGGGGTCCCTAGGGGACACCTTTCTCCTCAGATGAGAGGGGTCCTCTTCCACGTCTTCCCTCTCTCCGCCTTGATAACCAGGGTGGTAGCCAAGTTCCAGAGCAACAGGACCAGCTGCATCCTTTATTTATTTATTTATTATTATTTTATTAAAATATTTTTATGCCGCTCCATTCGCCGAAGCCTCGGGGCAGCTTACAACAATAAATTAAAATAATTATAATCATTAAATTAAAAAAATATAAACATTAGATTAAAAATACAAAAATACAATATAAAATAAGCCAGATAAAATCCAATAATATTATTGTCACGCCCTGGTGGCTGAAACAGCCCTGGCTTCCTCTCCTCCTTCACCTGTCCAGGAATGAGTTCTCCCACCTCCCCTCTCCCCAGCCTGCTACTGCAGGATCAGGGCAGGGTCCTGCACCCAGACACCAGGACCCTCCGGCTGACAGCCTGGAGGATCACACCCTGATCAATCCATATGGCACCCTCCCTCCTGCAGTCGCTGCCATCCTGCAAGCCACCCTAAAGCCTTCCACACGGCACTCCTGCCTAACGAAGTGGAGAGCCTTCGCAACCGCAAACACAGCTCAGGGCCTGAAGCCCACCACTACTTCCACCGAATATATCCTCAAGTACCTACAGATCCGCTTTGCTGCAGGCCTCTCCCCCTCCTCCATCAGGGTCCACTTGGTGGCCGTCTCTCATTTTCACCCCCTATACAAGGCTCCTCCGTGTTTGCCCATCCCTGGCACACCGCTTCCTCGGAGGCTTACAAAACATGGTTTCTCCTGTACTTCCAGTTGACCTCGCAGCGAGATCGGCAGCAAAGAATGGGAGCTCCATACTTCACACCGAAATCCATTCTCCATCGGGCTCTGGGAGGCCCAACCGAGCCCTGACAGGGCTGGGATTAGAAGTTCGAGCCCACTTCTGCTTTGTGGGGTGGTGGTGCCCCCCCCATCCGCCAGGGGGAGTTCATGGATTCTCAGTGAACAGAACAAGAGGGGTGCTCCCCCTCACTAGCTGTCGGCACTGGCTAAACAGCGAAGAAAAAAAACTTTAAAGTGGACATCAGACCTGCTGGGTGAGCAAATACCCTTTTAAAAATATTGCCCTTAAAATAACTTTTGGAATAAGCACCAATTTGAATAAAAAGCCCCTTTTGATGGAGGAGGAAAATTCCCCCCTCCCTGTGGATTCTAAGCAGCGACAGAGCTAGGGGAGATTAATTGGAACTGGGGAAATTTGAGAATTGGAAAAGAAGAGATTCTCTCTTTTTAATCTCCCCAAGGGCGAAGAATTAAATCTGAAACTTACTACAAATTAATCGGTAGAAAAAATTTTTCTTTTTGTTTTGTTTTTGTATTCCTCTTTCTGAGACAACATGGCGATCTGATCATTTGCGGATCTTGTGCATGAAAGTGAAACTATTCTGTTTGCTATAACAACAAATAACTGTTTATTGCCACCCTTTGGCTATCTTGCCTCACAACAGGTATCTTGATTACCCGTATTTTTCCGTGTATAAGACGATACTTTTTCTTTAAAATAGTTACCTAAAAATGGAGGGGCATCTTATACATGGGGGGGCCAAGAGGAGCTGGGAGGGGAGGCGGGCGCAGGCGTGCTCTGGGGGGAGGCAGGTACGGGTGCAATTGGGGAGGAGGCAAGCGCAGGCACAGGTGTGATCAGGGGGGAGACTGGTGCGCGTGCAGGCACACATGTGCGGGGAGGTGGGCACATGCGCAGCAGCAGCTTGCTTGCTCGGAAATCAGTACGAAAAGTGAGGGGCATCCTATACAAGGGGGAGTCTTATAGTCGGAAAAATATGCGATTTAAAAAAATTGTGACTCACTGCTGCCATCTCGTGGTTACCTTGCTTTATAACAGGCTGTCCTAATAAATCCTTTATTTTCATCATGAAAAAATTCATACATCAACATCTGCACCCACGTCCGCAACCCAAAGTCCAACATACCAACCAAAACTTCTGGATTTGATGATTCAACAGGAAAAATATCAAAAGGACTTACAGATAACACTTTCAGCAATGCAAACGTCTATTCAAGAGTCCATTCAAAACGCCACTCCAAAATTTGCCTCAAAACAAAATGAAAGATTGGATAAATTGGACAGTCATGTTCTGGACATAAATAATCAACTTACAGAGAAGAATGATGATATTGATAAGAAAACTGAAAAGATGGATAAAGAAATACAACAATTAACACAAACAAATAAATCATTATGGGACTCATTCACTATACTGGAGATGGAGACGGCATCTATCTAAGACTACTGAATATACCAGAGACAAAAAATGAAAACCTAAGTGACTTAATAAATACTATGCTAGCAGATGCGCTCGGTCTGTAAAAGGAAGAGATTGACAACGAGATTGACCTGGTTTATAGAGTGAATTCAAGCTATGTAAGAAGGCATAAACTTCCGAGGGAAGTTCATGTTAAATTTACAAAAAGATCTATAAGAGATCATGTCCTTAGAATTTCACGCGATAAACTACTGACATTTGATGAACATGATGTAACTATTTTGAAACAAATACCTCGGAGAATTAGAGAAGGACGGAAGAAGTATCAATCCCTCACGTCCAAGTTGATGGCGAAAGGAATCATGTTCAGATGGATATAACCAGAAGGGATACTTTTTACTTGGAATTCTGCAAGATTTAGACTGGATTCAGTCTTCAAGGCCCAAGAATTCTATGAAAAATTTGAAGTTCATTTGAAGATGAAGAGCGGACTGAAGAAAAGGAGAAAAGGAAAAACAGTGAGGCAACGGCTGCAGTGCCTTTTCTCTCAGAAGAAGGAGAAATAGCAATTTTAGACCAACAAGGGGATGAACAGTTATTAGAGCCAAAAGAAAAGCTAGAAGCATGACACCTAAATATAAATAGGTATATATACTTTATAAATATTGATCTTAAAATGGAAGGAAGAATTGAAATATTTTCTGTGAATATAAATGGATTAAATTCACTTCCTAAGTGGAAAAGAATTTTCTCTCAACTTCAAAAATTGAAATTAGATGTAATTTGTTTACAAGAA